AAGTGTTTGACGATGTTACATCATTGTTATACATGTTACATCATTCTCCTTTAATTTGATTGGTTTAATTTGATTTGATTTATATGACAAATCAGCAACCCCCTCTGTTACTGGCAAAGCAAGTTTGGTTTTTGATTACCTCAGCTTGTTCCCTAAACCATGAGTTTCTGTAGTTATTAATAATTTCAGACAAATGTGTAGCCATCTCGTCCTGTCCATATGCATCATTATTACAACACACTAGTGATGCTCGGATGGCAGTTATTTCCGTGGGCGCTGCAGATAATCAGCGGGTCGGGTAATAAAAAATGCATTCTGATTATTTGCGGGTGGGTCGCGGGTGGATAATATAAATCATTAGTGATGCAAATATCAACTACATTTTCTAAAATTTGAACGTTTTAAATAGGCTACAGAAATTGAATAAACTGTACATTAACATATTAAAGTTATTTAACAAAGCATTATTTAGTCAAGAGCAGTGAGGGATTTTCTCTCTACTTTGTTGTTTGATTAACATTAATGACAGACGGCACAACTTTATTATGCTGCTGTAACAAGACCTATTTCACGGATCCAATACTGATACACATGTGTTTTCTTTTGCAACTGTTTACATTAACTTAAGACAAAACCGAAAGTGCTTATGAGGATACTTGCCAGGACGACCATTTTGAGGTCATTTTGTGTGTATCTGGCCACTTAAGCGCAACAAGCTTTGCAGTGCGCGCTTTGGATGTGACTGTGAGTGCACAGAAAAGCGCCTCTGGAGAGCGCTAGTACCGAATGGCTTAAAAAGATGTGAAAATAATACATTTATGTGACGATGCAACAATGACCAATTAGGCAATTGACAATTCTGTCAACTGTACCGAAACGCAAGCTGAAGTATCACAGCGTGTAGATAATTTATTTGAAGCTGCGGATTCGGGTGACGTTTTAGCTCATCTGCGCAACACAACAAAACAGTAACTATGGAACATTTTGTTGTCTAAAAGCATGCAAATGTTAAGCCTGCAAGAAAGGGAAATGTTAGTTATGATTTATTGATTAAAATGATTAATTCTACAATTTCTTTCACACCGGGAACTCAACAAAATAACCATCAAGTTCTGTTATCCACTTCCCCTCATCCCAGCTGCCTTGGAACAACTCCACAGTGCCTCCATCTTCACCAAGTTGGACATTCGAAGCCTCATCCAGATACGTGAGGGAGATGAGAGGAAGACTGCTTTCATCACTCCATCAGGGCACTATGAGTACCTCGTTATGCCATATGGGTTGGTCAACGCTACCCTCTGTATTCCAGGATTTCATGAATGAGGTGCTCCAGGACTTCCCGAACCACTTTATGATTGTGTATATCGATGACATCTTGATATACTCCCGGAACCTGGCCGAACATCGCTGCCACGTTTCGGAGGTCCTCCAATGGCTCTGCGAGTACCATCTGTTCCTCAAAACAGAGAAATGCAGCTGCCATCAGAAATCCATCCACTTCCCAGGATACATTGTCAGCCAGGAAGGCCTCAGAATGGATGAGGGGACGGTATCTGCAGTCACCACTTGGGCCCAGGCCCACCACTGTGAAAGAACTCCAGAGATTCCTTGGTTTCGCTATCTTCTACCACAAATTTATCCAGAACTACAGCACTCTAACAGCACCACTCACTTCTCTGTTAAAAGGCAGGCCCAAGTCTCTGTCCTGGAACTCAACAGCCGAGCAAGCCATGCAAGAACTGAAGAACGCCTTCACAACCACAACACTCCTCACTCATCCTAACCCAGAGAAACCTTTTGTTAATGAAGTCGACGGTTCCACCTAAGGAGTTGGTGAGGTCTTATCCCAGCAGCAGGAGAAGTCAAATAAACTTCTTCCATGTGCCTTCTTCTCCAAAAAGTTATCTTTACTGGCCATCAAGCTCGCCCTGGAGGAATGGAGGCACTGGTTGGAGGGAGCCCATCATCCATGCATTGTTCTCACTGATCACAAGAACCTCTAATACCTCAGAGAAGCCAAGAGACTGAACCCCCGACTAGCTCGATGGGCTTTATTCTTCACATGCATCCAGTTCCACATTTCCTGCCATCCAGGATCCAAAAATACCAGAGCTGATGCCCTTTCATGTCTTCATACCCCTGACGATAAGTCCGAAAAGCCAGAGTCAATGCTTCCCTATTCTCTCTTCATGAAGCCCATCCAGTGGAGTATTGATGAACAGATCCTCGAAGCTTCCACCACTAACTCTGTTCTGCTGGGATGCCCGCTGGACTCCACCTATGTTCCCAGAGTTCACCGTTTGCCAGTCATAGAATCTGCACATTCCTCATTAGGCACTGGCCACCCAGGGACAACACAAACCCTCTCACTTAAAAACCGCTACTGGTGGCCTGGCATGACAAATGACATCCGTCGTTACATCCAAGGTTGCAAGCAGTGCGCTATCTCCAAAATCCCTCACCATCTACCACCTGGGATGCTCCTCCCGCTGCCCGTTCGTCAACGCCCATGGTCACACCTGGGAATGGACTTCACAGACCTCCCTGACTCGGATGGATACACCTGGATACTGGTAATTGTTGACTGGTTTTCAAAAGCCTGCAAGTTAATTCCACTCAAGTTTCTGCCTACTGCCACAGAAACCGCAGAAGCCTTGTTCATTCTGGTATTCTGTAATTTTGGTATGGCTTAAGGCAGTGGTCGCCAACCCGTTGATCGCGATCGACTGGTAAATCTTTATCACTGTCCCAGTAGATCCCGAAAATTGCTTAAAAATCAGTATCAGTATCAGAATCCAATTTGCTAGTTAAAAAAGAAAAGAAAATCTGAATTCTGAATCAGCTATGATCGGCGCATCACTAATTAAAATACTAAGTAAAAGGCCTCAAATTTGAAGTACAATCTGCGATGTTGTTTTCTATCAATTCTTCAATAGGTAGATCTTGTCTTTCATAAAGGCCGAGGTCAGGGATCTTGGGCCTAAAAAGGTTGGTGACCACTGGCTTAAGGTGTAGTCTCTGATCATGGACCACAGTTAATTTCACGTGTGTGGAAGGCCTTTTTCTCCCTCCTAGGTTTGACCATAAGCCTTATATCTGGCTGCCATCCACAGTCCAATGGGCAGACAGAGAGGAAGGTTCAGGAGGTCAGCTGCTTCCTGATGACCTTTTTCCAGAGCCACCAGGACCCCTGGAGCCAGTTTCTTGCCTGGTCCAAATATGCTCAAAACTTTCTCCAGCAATCAGCAACAGGACTCACCCCATTTCTATGCATACTGGGTTTCCAGCCACTACTATCTCCCTGGTCAGGTGAGCCTTCAGATGTACCATCAGTTAATCACTGGTTCCAGGAGAACGAGAGGGTGTGGGATGAGGCTCATCACCATCTGCAGCAGGCAGTGTGGCGGCATAAGGAACACGCTGATTCCCGGAGAAACATCACACCCATCTACCAGCCTGGACAACTAGTGTGGCTCTGAACCTGGGATATCCAGCTGTGCCTGCCCTGAAGCAAGCTTAGTCCCAAGTGCATTGGTCCATTCCAGGTCGTAAAACAAGTCAACCCTGTCACTTATGAACTGAAGATACTAACACACTACCATATTCACCCTACGTTCCATGTATCTCTCTTGAATCCTCACCATCCACCTGTTTCTGTCCCTTCCACAGAGCCTGGTATCCATAGACTACGTTGTCTTCATTGTGTTTACGTACCTAAGGGATGTCCAATCCTGCTCCTGGAGGGCCACTGTCCTGCAAAGTTTAGCTCCAACCCCTATTAAACACACCTGAACCAGCTAATCAAGGTCTTACTAGGCATACTAGAAACATCTAGGCATATGTTTTGAGGCAAACTGGAACTAAACTCTTCAGGACATTGGCCCTCCAGGATTGAGTTTGGATACCCCTGACTTACATGCTCACTCGTTGTCTGCTTGTGTCCTCAATAAAGCTGCTGGCACAGTCCATAAATCCAACAAAGTAACTGGGCAGATAAAAGAGACAAAGAAAAACACAACCAAGAGGGAATTAAGTAATAGCAAGAGGCGCTGTGAAGTGCTGAAACTGGCAAAAAAAAAAGAGAGAAAAATGAAAGGTTAAATGGTAGACAGCGACCGGTACATGCATAAATAAAAACAAAAACAAAGACTCATGCAGGAAAAGAGAGATGGATCAAACCTGAGTACTGACCGTAACTGCCGAGTGATTAGTGTTTGCTTAATATTTACATTTTCAGATTTTTCCTGTGGTTTTCATGATAAAATTTAATTTACATTCATGACATTTACATTATATTATCCAGAGCGAATCTGAGTAGTCACATCTGATTATCCTGTGTAAGGTGCTATATAACTTTGGTCTATATTGTCTTTGCTTCCACTGCGTCAGAGATTGATGATAGTTCACCCCAAAATTAAAATGATCCCATAATTTAATCCAGTGGCATAACCTTGTTTTAAAATGTGGGTGAGACAGGAGGGGGCGCTAATTCAAGGCTATGTCAGAAATGTACAACAACAAATGGACACAAATGTCCTCTTTGCTTCAGAAGGCATTTATTAACCCACTGGAGGTGTATGGATTACTTTTATGATGAATGGATATGTTTTTTGGAGCTTCAAAAACTCAAGCACTATTCAATCCCATTACAAAGTTGGGAAGAGCAAGGATACTGTTTAATATAGCTAAGATGGGTTGAGGGTGAGTAAATTATGGGATAACTTTCATTTTTGTACTATTTTTGAACTATCCCATTTTGAACTATACCTTTAAATAAGGGCATTTTTTAATTTACATTTTTACATTTATTTAGTTTTCAGAAGAAGAAATTGGAAAATTGAAGAAAAATAGAAAAATGTTGATAATTGTACTTTTTTAAAGCTTTCTTTTAAATTACATATTATAATGTAGAGTATATTGCAGTACTTTACCACAAATTTTCTGCAGCATGCCGTGCACATTTATAACAATAAATGACACTATGCCTTTTATTTTTACAGATAATTGTCGGAGAGCAAAGAACAGAAAGTGAGGGACCAGATGAGCATTTATGTGTAGAAAATGAAAAGCTTGCAATGACAAAAACACTCCTTCACAGATTTCACCTTGACAAGCATAGATATAAATTGAGAGCTGCAGATTTTCTTCAGATAACTGAACATTCATTACAGTCCCATGTGTTTTGTGCTGAAGAAGAGCTGATTCAGACTTTCCTTCAAAAACTACTGATGATGGACTACAGAGCAAGATACATTAATGTTGAGACCAATGACGAAGGTCACAACCAACAAGGCAGCAGTGATTCACCTATACAGGAAGCAGATTGTGATGATATATTTTTTGAATTAATGTCTAACAGAGAAAGAAGTAAATTTGACCCTGTGCACCCAATGGATGTTCAGATGGCTGTGTTTCATTGTGCTGATGGTTTCCTGAAGCAGCTAATGGTGACTAAACTGTCCCAGTGTCAGTACGCTCTGCCTTTGCTTGTTCCTGATCCATTCACACAACAGATTGAGTTTCCTCTCTGGACATTCAGACAAATCAACAAGAGCTGGAAGATGACAAACATCAACAATGAAACGATCAGTCAAACCCAGCCGATCTACAAGGCAAAAACTCCAATGGTGTTTTTCTTCAGGTTTGGCTCTGTGTCTTCATCCAAGTCTCAGCTGATGAACAGTTTGATCAATGAGAAACACAACACGTTCTTTCACAGGAACTGCCCAGGCAGCAGCAGAACCAGAGTCCTGATGGATGGAGTGGTGGAGATTGCCTGGTTCTGCCCCTCTGGGAAAAACGTGGATAAATTCAGTAACCGTGTTGCATTCTGTAATCTACATGGAGATGCAGGAGTCCATGAGAAACAGCTGCAGATCCTCACTGAAATGGCCTCAGTCAATGTTGTTCTTCTATCACAACTTGAGAGGAATGACAGAAGCATGATGAAAGTTCAAGAACTCTATAAGGATTCAAAGCCACTCATTTGTCTTTTTGCTAAGAATGATTCAGCATGCACTAAGACACGGAAAGGAAAATACAAGATTGGTTTGAAAGACAGAAATCAGTCAGAAGTATCTGAAGAACTCAGAAGAGCTATAAATGATTGTTTTACTGGGGAAGAAAGATCTGAGAGGAATCAAAGAATCATTTCTGCCTCATCAGGGGAATCTGTGGCATCAGTGGAGTCAGAAGAACAAAGAACTACATCAACCTCAAGAAGATGATACAGAAATGGAAAGAAGTATAAAATGTGCAGACCTAATAAAAATCCGTGAGATCCAGCATGATTCTGACATCAGTGAGTTCTTTATTAATGAAATGAACTCAGGTGCTACAAATAAGATGTTTTTCATTAAATGGCTTGGGATCCTCCTGGATGAATATATCTCAGCAGATCTTTATGTCCTACATTATGAGTACAATGAAAAATGGTCAACAGTATTGAAATTGAAAGAAAATCACAATGGATCTGAACAACTGATAGCTGAACAAACTGAACTTGAAAGAATATCTGAGGAACTTCAAGCTGCAGCCTTTGGTTTGGAGAACGTATTAAAGATCTCTGGAAGGCTATATTGAATGAACAATTTGTATTCAGCTTTAAAAATTCTCTGGAGATTTCAGCCTACAGGAAACTGGAGACCGAATACAGGAAGTGGTGCTGGAGTCTCCGCAGTGCCATGATGAAAATTGAGAACAAACTACACAACAAAATAGAAAATGAAACAATTAATGAGGTTGAGGAAACTGATATTCAAATAGAACTGAAGAAGACAAGTGAAGAAGTGAAAAAATCAATGTCAGAATTGAGAAAGACAGAGATGCAAATATATTGATTCAGTGGAAAGGTTTTTTTGAGATAAAAATTAAAGAGCTTCAAGAAACTGCTATAAGAGAAACAAATAAGAAATTAAATGGGATTCTTCAGCAGCGCGACCTGAAGAAAAAGATAGATGCTCAGAGGACACATTATGAAAACACTCTCTATGAAAAGAGCAAAGAACTTGCCTTAAAACTCAAAAACAGGGCAAATGATGAAGCAACATTGAAGAAAAAGTTTAATTTGTTCTGGAAACAGAGTATGAAGAAGATCATCACAGACACTCCTGCAATAAAAGACATTGACATATTGGATGATGTGAAAACCCTCCTTGGTGACATCTATGAAAGTGCTTCTGTAGGGGAGAGCATTGAGTGCAGGTATGTTTTTTCTGCACCAAGTTATGCAGATTATGTACAGTTGAAGAAATCCAGTGGATTTACAGGACATGGAAAAAATGCCATCAGAGCTGCTGAAGAGAATTTTGGTTACATTCTATCTCAAGAAGACGAAGCCCAAATAAGAGCATTAGTAACAGATGTTGTTCATCAAATAGACATAAAGATAACGTCATTTAACATTGCAAAAATGGGCTATAACATCAGCTACATTCAACAAATCATAGATTACATCAAGACAAGAGTGAGACAACATCAGGAAGGACCAGTGAATTATGTGTTCATGAATGAATTCTTCATCCATTTTGTTTATTCAGTATTTAAGACAGCAAACAATACAATTAATGACCAACACAGAATGTTTAGAGAAAACAATGATCCTGTTCTATATTTGGAGAAGAAAAACGAAGAGTACTACAGTATTTTCCAGAAATACCTGCATGGAGCTGCGTCAGATGTCATCTTTGGTGAGATCATCTGTCAGAAACTTAAAGAGCCCATTGAGCAGAGCGTCTGCAAGATGACTGCCATTGATTTAACAGTTGAAATAAGAAGAAACTGTGAATCACTGAATGGAAACAGATCAAATCTAGAAAAACACATCCTCAAGTTTCTGGCAGAAAATGAGAATTTTTCTGCGTTCATGGACTACATTAATTATCCCAGAGATCACGTCAGGAATTTCATCAGAGATGAAGTCAATTGGTACATTAATGATAAGTTCAGTGTCAGTGTTTTACCCAGGATGAATGAGAACATTAAACTCATGCAGCAGAAGATCATGAAAGCAGCTCATGAATCTACTGAACATGTTCAAGTCAACAGTGGAGATGTTGGTTTGTGGTTGAAGAGTTTCACACAGCAGCTCTCAGATGAGCTGATCTTCTCTGAAAAAGACCTCAGTGGAGTGAAACATAATCATATTGATGATTTCAGCCTCCTAAAAGATGCAATAAAACAAGAACTTCTGGCTATAATCTCTGACATCAGCAGTCGATTCAAGAAATTTCCATCAACACTGGACTACAAAGACAGGCCCGATGAGATTCTGACTGATCACCTCTGTCAGTGCTGTTGGGTTCAGTGTCCGTTCTGTGCAGCCACTTGCACCAACACCATAGAAAATCATGATGGAGATCACAGTGTTCCTTTCCACAGATCGACTGGAATCAATGGATGCTATTATGATGGAACACAGAATCTTTGTACATCATCACATCAGTGGTTTCCATATAAAGAATATAGAAAAGCAGGAGGAGTTTATGCTAACTGGAGCATCACTTCTAACTATTCTAAGTCAGGGCTCTACGCTTACTTTTCTTTTTAGGAGCACTTGTGCTCCTAACTTAAAAAATTTAGGAGCACATTCAAAATTTTAGGAGTACCTTCTAATCAATCATCCAAAATTTTATCAAAAAGTAGCCTTCCCATTACGAGGTGATATTTGACTCCTCTAACTTTATTAAAAGTATGTCATCTTTTGTCAAATTCTTAAAAGAATTATATTTTATAAGCTTTTTTAAAATTTTAATTAAAACAACAGAATAAGAACAAGTAGAATAAGGAATATAAGTTACCAATCAAATTAAATCAGTATTAACTACATTAATTTGTAGAGGTGGCACAAAAGTGGCTTGTAGGTGTACTTTCAGACATTTAATGATGATGATCGGGTCAGTCGCACTGGTGCTCCTAAAAAAAAATGTCATAGTCGCACGCAGTAGTTTTCAGTCGCAAATGCGACTGAAATGGTCGCACTGTAGAGCCCTGTAAGTGTTTGTACTGGAAGTGGTTTGTATGCAGATTCCAGAAACATCTGGAAAAGTACTAGGAGAAGTCATTTGAAGGGAATGGTAGGATCCCAGAGTTGTGGAAATCATACACAAAAGAGGATGCAATTAAGAGTTTAAAATACTACACTCCTACTCCTAGAAGATATTTTTCTTTTAAATTAACATGTTAGGACAGGATAATATTTTTACAGATGCCTCTTAAATAAAAGAAAAACACAGGTGCTTCAAGAAGCCCTTACAAGATAAACATATATGAAATTAAATGGCATTCTTCAGCAACAAGACTTGAAAAAAAGACTGATTCTCAGAGGACACATCATGAAAAGAGCACAGAACTTGACTTAAGACTCAAAGACAAAGCAAGAGTTTGATTTGTTCTGGAAACAGTCTGTGAAGATCTGCTCCTGTCATTCAAAGACATAAAAAAGAAGGACAGAATCGGATGCAAGACTTTGTGCTTCTTGTATATGCACTTTCTAAAGAGGATGAATTCCAAATGAGAACTTTTGTCACAGATAATGGATGATGCCATTTTAGCATTGCTAAATTAGGCTACGACATCTTCTGTATTTAAGAACTCATGAATTAATATCAGGACAAGAGTAAGGGCAATCATTTGATGAACATTTTATCAATCACACTGAGACCTTTAAAACCCTTTAACTGTCACCTGTCCCCTCTGTGGGACGCCTAAGTTTACTATGTATGTAAATATCTATGTAGGAAAAGTAATAGATAAATTTTTGACAAGAGTGCACCTCAAAAATCTACATCATAACAGGAGTTCTGACCTTTGTCAAAAAAAGTCTTCTTCGTTGCCTTTTTCTCTATCACACTTTAGAAATCATCAGAAATTATATATCAATTGAAAACTTTAAATCTCAAAATTCATCCTTTGAAACCCATTTTAAAATCAAACATTGCATTACCATGAAAATGGTACATCAATATCATGTTACAAAATGTTTTCGTTCATGAATTATAAAAATTTAAGTTTGGATCGTGCGCTTTCACGCCTATGTTCAAAAATGTGAGTGACAGTTAAGGGGTTAAAATGATACCAAACATGAGAGAAAAACAACAACAACAACAAAATATATAGATTCACAAGATGCATCATATATGGCATATAGACCTTTCTGAAAGGAGGGGATTAGGGAGAGGGTTTGATGGGTGAGAACAGGGGTGGCAAACTCCGGTGCAGGAGAGTCACAGTCCTGCAGAGTTCAGAGTCCAACCCTGATAAATACTCACCTGCCTGTAGCTTCGTAGTAACCCTTTAGACTTGATCAGGTGTTTGATTAGGGTTGAAGCAAAACTCAGGACTGTGGCTCTCCAGGACCGATGTTCGGCACCCCTGAGAAGGCGGTGCCCTGTGCTCTGTTCTTTGAGATCTTCTCTCCAGATTAGTGAGTTTCATTGTTTTATTGCAGGGTGTTTGATCTTGTGTTCTGTTTTAGATGGAAAACGAAAAATAATGCTTATCTCTAAAGAAATTTGAAGTAAAAGTTCAAATTACTTCTCCAGTGTTTTACCAAGTTTTCATTAATGTAAAAATAAACTTCACTGTCATGTTTTAGCCTTGTTATATCTTTTAATAAGATATCAATATTTTTCAAGGTATTGTATCTAAGTTAGGGATTTCAGTATTGAGAAAACACTAATGTGTGTGTGTGTGTGTGTGTGTGTGTGTGAAAAAAAATTAAATATGAAAAAAAAAAAAAAACTTTGGTTGGTCTTGTGTTATACATGTCTAGGACGGTCTGGGAATTAAAAAGTTTGGGAACCCGTGCTTTAGTGTAAGAAAACATGATTGTGGCAGTTCCTGCTCAATAAATCATTTAAAAAAAATCGAAATAATAAAATTATGTTTAATGATTTTGTCATAGAACACTTGTGGTTCTGTGATTATTGACCTTAGCATTTTCCTTTTTGCTTAAGTATTGTTACTTCATCTTTTTCATTTGGCTTTTTATGGTTTTGTCTGATTGTTCTATCTATATGCTCAAGTAAAGACTTGTCTTTTGATGCAAAATCCGTGTCCAGTGTGGTATCTTCACTTCATGGGCTCCATCCAGTTCTTGTCATCAGTAGTGAGTGGAGAGTGAGACTCTCTGCACAAAGCCTCAAGGCTGATTTTGACGCTGGGGAACTTCCTTGAAGCCCGAGCAGTTTCTGGCTGAGAACAAGAAAAATATATAATATTAATAATG